TGCAGTCAAAATATGAGTAATAGATTTTCTATAATTTGACAGGAAACCCTATTGAATTTTTTGAAGGATAATTTTGGTTGTTTTTGAGTGCTTGCAGAAATGCTAGATAAGATTTTGTGGTCGTGAGAAATCATTGATAGAAAAATTCAAAAAAGTCAGGAGGTCAAATACTTTTTAGCCAAAAGTTTGGTGACAAAATGGGGTAGGAAAGTGCCATCTGAACTTCTTCGCTTGTCAGCGTTCAGGAATTTGTTGGACTAATCATTGGATCATAGCAATCGCATTCAAGTGACGTGCTTGAATTAGAAAATATGCTTACAATAAAACCAATCTCCATCGCGGTTTGCCAGTTAAAAAAACTTGCATGTGGAAAACTGTCAGATTACTTGCCTATGCACTCACTACGTCATGAAGGCGCTGGCCAAAAATGCGATTAGTGATTGTTTAGAGGGTTAGCTGTTTCTTGAAAACTAATAAAAATTTTCAGTGATTTATGTTTAAACCCATCTCTCCACAAAAAAAGGCTAGCTAACAACAGCTTGTAGCATGCCAAAATAATTTTTTAGCCAAGTGGGATGGGCAAAATTTCTTGGAATCCCACTGTTTGAATTTTCACAGATACACTTCATCCATGCGAACGGCTGACCTGGCTATTTAGCTTTTTGCTCTAATTATGTTACTTCGTTCGTAGTAAAACATTCTGGTGTTGTAACTTGAAACTTTTTCATATTTGCTATTATATAAAGGAACGATAAAGGAAAGCTCTGTCTAAATGGAACCATGTAGAGCGTGAAAACATCCCAAATATAGGAGCTTTGGAGAATGCAGTATGAGAAAATTATTCGAAGCAATATGCAAAACGTTCAGCATGGCATAATCTGAATGAAAATTTTCTCAGCACCGAATCCAGGGGATACCGAGCGACCTGGGTGAGTTGTCACCTAGAAACACTTAACGACAGGATTTCCATTAGTATTTCGCTTGAGTCCAATGGGTACCTGGAGACTGTTCCCATGCCAAAAATTTACTTACTTGGATGAGCAGTACGCAGTTAGAGAAACTCGGTCGGTTGCGGTGAGCATGTGCACTAATGGACCGCTCACCCTCGGTGAAACTCAATATCTTGAGGATTTAGAAAGGGATATCAGTAATGGAGAAGCACCGAGTTAGCCGTAGCCAAATACCCGAGCAGCGCTTCTGCCTTCGAAGGATTCCGTGCAGCTTTTCCGCTCTCGGTTTGTTTTTCAGCTTTGCCGGTTCATAACGAAGAATATGGGAGAGTCGGTTAGAATTTCAAGAGGTTTCACAAAAAATGCGTAAAATGGCTGGCGGTTACCGTAACCCAAGACTGCGGAGAGCTGGCGGGGGAGAGTCATTCATCTGGAAGTGGTTGGGTGGCAGTACGACAACCACTTCAAGATGGACGAGTTTCCGATTTCAGTAAAAGCCGCCAAACACGCGAATTGGACACTCAACCTCCATGCATTTTTCGCCCTTCGATAAATATGGGATGCAGGTACGGTAGAAGACTATAAATATCGAGAACGACGTTCAAGAAGTAGAAGAAGCAGTTGTTAACATCAGTCAGATTCTTCTGACTTCTATCAATTTGGAATGCATTTGAGAAAGTGGTCTTTTTAGAGTAATCAAACTACGTCACCATTATAACCTGACGCACAATTCATAAGAAGAATACGTCGAGAAATTGGCCTCGGATGGATAAGCGCGCATTTTAGAGACTTTATCAACTCTCCTTTTCAACGCTGCTTGCACGATTTTTATAGTGTTGTGACATCTCTACACTTCAGCAGACTGCGATTTTGAATGCAAGCATTTTAGAGCTATGGGGTAGTAATGATGGTCCCAGGATTTCTATTCGGGGAGGATTGCGCAAAAAATTCTTTTTAAATGAAGGTGCGTGACATCGGCCACGCACTCCGAAAATGTGTGATGTTTTTCAAAATTTTTGGGGCTCATAACACGCCTCCGAAAAAGGATTTTACAAGGCTAATTTGAATGTTCAAAAAATCTTGAATACCATTTCAATAATTTACAAGAAGTAAGTCACTTGTACATTTTTATAACCCATGTAAATAAATTTTTGAAATTTTCGGGACCCATTCTCCAGGAGGGGAGCTCCCTTCGGGCCACCACTTGCGGGTAGCTATATAGCATCTCGTTTTTAAAGACAAATTCTTTTCCTTCTGAAATCCTTTTAGTAGCGAATTTAGTTTGGAACAGAATCGTGCTTTGATTAGTTGTCGTCATAATCTTAAAATGCGCTCACTATGAATTTTGATTTTTTTATATGCGACGAATGGCCAAGCAGGTTTCCTTGCGAATCAAGATAAGTAGTAAAACTCTGCCTGCTAAATAAATCAAAGGAACCGAACTTCATAGTGAGTGTTAGTACGGTTCCCAAATAAGATTTTTAGCCATTTTTTAAGGAACCAGACTATTCATGAGCAAGGTGAGCACGATTGCTCGGCTCACTGGGTTTTCAGCTCTCCCAGATTTCCTTCTTTTCTTTCAATATTCTTTCGCCTTATGCATTATGTGTCCAAAGTGCTCGTTGCATACATAATTGGACATTTTCAATCAGTTCCTTCAAGTTTTTTTTTCTGTACGTTTTTCCTATATATTTTTATTGCTAAGATGCTATTCATCCTACTGGGAAAGATGAGAACCGAATATCGCGTTTCGTAAAAGAGGAGTGTCCCTTTTTGTTACAAGGGACAAGTTGCAATCAAGCATTGGGCATTTTGCACTCAAGTAACCAGGATTAAAATGTACACTTTAGAAGAAGGGAGAGCGGCAGGACAGATGGCGAAATGGGAAGGTGAACTAGACTAACTTCATACACATATACACTTGCATACAACCACTATGGTATCGACATTTAAAAATACAAACAGAAGTCCGAAATTCTTGATTTTAACTAAGTTGACCGTGCGACGGTTATGTTCTTCGAAATTCCGTCGCGATAGTGCTCATTCTCTTGAGTGCGATTTTGGAAGGTTTTATGTTTTCTGGTTCCCTGTGCCAGTAGCTTTCCAAAAATGAGCAGGAAAATTTGTAAAAATGACTTTAAAAAGAGGCATCAACTTCCGGCGGTCCCGCCGCAGATAATACGCCGGACCCCTTTTTTCCACCCCAGTGATGGCTCAGTTGTAGTACTAGATGGGGCGGAAGAGGAACTAACAAAGTAACTACGAGAGAAGTGGAAGGAAACTAGTAAAAGTCAATTTGCGGATACCCTAAAGGCATAAATTTTGCGAAACAATCCCGTATCATGAGCGTTGCTAAATCATCATAGTCTATTTCTTTACGAGGAGATTATTCATAACAAAAGAAAATGTTTGCACCAGTTTCTAAGCATTTGTGATCAATAGTCTAGTGAGTGTTCCATTATTCATCAAATCCAGTAACAAATGAAAATTTTCTATAAATTCTCATTTCGCATGCTTACCACTCTAGCATATGCGCAAATTACCCGTGTAATTACTAGAAAACAACAAATGAACACCAGTAAGCAAGAAGACGTCCGACTTTACGGTAGATTTCTCTGCATTTTTAGTCAGATCCAGCCGAGATAGATTTGTGTCTTGCACGCAACGCAGTGGCGTCAACAGATACCACAAAGTTGGACTCCTGAGTGAGGATTTTTTGTCAGGAACCCTTACAAAGTGAAAAATGGGATAAGAGAAAAACCAGCAATGTTGCCCACTTCGAGCATTGGGTCTACCCGTTTGTCGGAACTAACAGTGCGCCTGTAGATAAATTTAGTTCTAAAGAACTTTGCGGCTTCAAAAGTGACCACAGGTTGCGCCATTGCCGAAATTTTGAAGCGTTACAGTAATTAAAAGACATTTCTCAGGCAAATCTGATATTGATGCTTTTAAAGTACTGATTGAAAAACTTTGATTGGGCTCTCCTGCACCAACTTTCACACATTTATGGCCGAATAAGTATTTGACTACTACTAAAGAGAATTAGCTCCAAACTCTCGCACAGAGTAAATTTTCTGAGTCAATCAGCGATTGCGAGTACAGTACGCAAGTTGCCAAAGAATATGGTTTGGTTGGAAGTTTAGCCTTAAGTTTCTCTGCCGCAATTGAATCATATGAGCTTTCGCTTGATCCACGTTATGAGGACTTTCCACCTGACAAGCCAATTTGAACACTTCTTTGAATGAATCTCTCAGTCAGGGTCGCAACCATACCCATGTTCCTCAAACACGGTAAATTTGTTGCTAGTACTTACATTTTCACCACTACTGATTGATTCTATAATAGAAATCTTTTATTCTTGAATACAAATCATCTTCTACTTTTGATCTTCTTCTATTTTTGAACAGGGAATTTGAATCTTTTTCACTAGTTTTCAGACTCGTCAGTAAATTTCGGTGTCCACATGGTTGGGAGACGATGAAGAGGCTCATTTTTCCATCTGTCACTGTTGGAGCTACAGTGATATGAATGTCTTTAGAAACAAATTGCTTTTCTTTCCGTCCAACGTCATCGCCTGCTATATTTGCCTAATTCGCTAGAAAACTGTCAATATCTGAGAAATTGGTGTTAGCCGCGTGTTTAAGGGAGTTTCTAAGCTTTAGCATTCTAGGTTTCATCCGAATTCCTAATGATATTGTACATCCTAGGCGCCTGTCTAGCACTTCAAAATTTGCAGTTCTTCTGGAATACCATGAAACTCTCATCAGGTAGTCTTGGTGCCTTTTTTTATAACAGCCAATTGTCAAAATGCAAACTATATAATTGCATGTGGGTGAGTAGAAAACATGATGCCGCCGAAAGACGCTTTCGCGAGAATTGTAACAAACCATGCACCTCTACACAGGTAGCCTCGTGCCAGCTGGCACCGTGAAGCCTTCAGGCGACATATTGTCCTCTGCCTCATCTGGGTCAGATTTGCGCGTTCCCTCATGCCTCTGGGAGGTTTATGATGTGCGAAAGCCTCGCAATGCATCGCACCAACGTATAAAAGGATTCTTGTGAACCATAGAATCTGTAGTATTTGTTCGCATCTAAATTGCTATGTTTCCACACAAAATTTTCTATGTTCCTGTCATTTCGAAGAATGAAAGTAATCTTCATAATGTTTCCACAACTCACAATCAGACCAGCTTGCGTCCTATCCTTCCACGTCCAGCACCTACCCAGCTTTTGATTCAATCTCGCGAACCTCTTTATGAGCAAAAAGTAATGCCAGCAAATCACCTTTTGATGCAACCTTCAGGTTCTCAGAGTCTTCTTGTTGAAACAAAAGTGCCAGTGCTTCTTTCGCAAGCGCCACATTCGGATAGGCTTCTTGCACAGAATTCTGAGTCTTCCACACGTTCGACATCAAGATCATCACCAACTAATTTCACCTTCGCAAGTCCAGTGCCAGCAGAACTCTCTTTTAAGGCAGTCTCCAAGCCCACAGCTGAATCTTCTCCTCATTGCGATAATTTTCCCTCCCAATCCACAGCTCCTCCTTCGTCTCTTCCTTGCAGCAGTTTTTCCTCCCAATCCATAGCTCCTTCTTCGTCTCTTCCTTGCAGCAATTTCTCCTCCCCATTCACAGCTTCTTCATCTCCTCCCTGCAACAGTTTTTTCTCCCAATCCACTGATCCTTCATCTCCTCCTTGCAGAGAGTTTTCAGGCAGAAAAACCTATTTAGGAGAACGACAGGTAAGTAAATATGGAAAGCACGATGTCCTAGTTTATCGGATTCCAGGAACCTCTGATTGCTATACATTTGCATTTCACAAAAATACGTCGCTTTTCAAGGTTTTCAAATGCCTTTATTGTCGTAAAGAAGGCTGTCACATTCAAATATATGTGAGTTTTCGATGTGTGGTGAACTGGGTCAAAAGTAATGAGAACTTTACATCTCTTCTTGGACCAGCGGTCAATTCAGATAAAATATTCAAGTGCTCGAGACGGTACAAGACAGATTTTTTTGTATATATAGCAGTTATAAATATATTTTTATGAATGCTGAAATAATCGCAGAACGAAGCATTCGAAATTCATAACGAGTAATAGTTACAGATAGCTGATGAATTTAAAATCTGTGAATTAAGGGTATTTAGAAGAAGTAAACAGTAAGAAGTATAAGTTTGATCTTCGCGGAATTTGTTGGGTTAGATGCATTTTTGGTTTTACACCCTTTTTTACAGAATTAAGGAGTTTTGAAAAAATTCTTCTAAAAGCCCCGAAAGGCTTGTCGGAAAAGACCTCAAATGTACTGCAAGACTGATTTGTTTTAAGTGACCAAATTTTTCGAGCAGTCTGAAATATATTTGACGATTAGCCAAATTTAGACGAAGCAAAACGATGGGTTCAGAATTTTGTTTTCTTTGGTTCCAATAGGAGAATTGGTATGTTAGCGAAGAAGCTGCAAAAAAAAAAGAAAGAAGAGTTCGGCTCAGTTCAAGTTGCTTCTTTATTAAAATTCCACCCTTTCTACTGAAAGGTTAAAGTAAAGACTGAAAAGTTCTTATTATCTTTGACTCACGTTAGTAATGTTAATTTGCCTATTGTAGGTGATCGATGACGAATTTCAAGAGGATCCCTGCCTGCTGCCACACAAATGCACCCCTAAAAACTACAACAAGAATTACGTGGAACGCTCTATGTACGAAAACTGCCAGAAAATCCGAAGTGACCCTGATTTCTTATATTCGTCTCTTGATCTACACTCTACATAGATAACCTGTGGCTGTGGTTGGCAGCACTCAGATTCACTTCGAAGCTGTATATCCATTTGCTTACAATCTTTCATGATACTATGTCGTGATGTGCATTATAAAAATGTTCTCCCCTTTGATAAACTAGAACCCACGTTTCTTCTGTGGAATAAAGGTTCCGAACACATGTGCTGTAACTAAGATATCGGATTCGGAATAAGGCGTACTGAATACGTGACCACTCAACCCAAAACTAAGTTACGAAATTCGACTATGAGCCATCTCATGCACGAACCGAAATGAAAATAGAGAAAACAAGAGAGTAAGAGTGACTTTCTTACGGTAGTTGTTCATAGGTCTGGGTAGCATCTTCAATAGAGTTAGGAGCTGAGAAAATCTCAACTCGAGTTCACTTCATAAAAAAATCGCACCCACAAGGGAGGTCCAATTAGTCGAAGGGCTTTTCCAAATGAATCTTATGTCACTTTGAAGAGCACTAAACAGCGATTCCAAATTTGCTTTCAATATTTGCCAAGCTCCTCTGCATTCCGAGTTATGAATATTTTCTTGGTTCGAAAATATTAGCATAATCTTGGTAAAATCTTTTCGGCGCTCAAATAGAGCAGCGTTTAGTATGAGTGTTTTGGAAAGAAGGTATTGTTCAAATGGAATGTTCTGATAATCAATATTGGACCACTTGAGATCCTGACAAATTTTGTGCTAATTATGCATTCAACTTTTCAACTAAAAAACACTCATAACTCGACGTTTAGAGGCGCTCGGCAGATAACGAAAACAGATCTGGAATCAGCGTTCGATGCTCTTTATAGTCATATCAATTCCCTGTGAAAAGGCCGCTTCGACCAAACGGACCTCCCTTGTCTGACTAAAAACAAAGCGCGGAAAATAATGTAACCTTTCGAAGTTTGCATGTGTAAAATCAAGGAGTTCACGATAAGAAGATTAATCACGTCCACTGTTTATCCAAAACAAAAAGAGAATTTGCTTATGGCACATTTATCGGCAAAGCAAGGAAACGATAAAGAAGAATTGGAATTCTCATGATCCAGTCATAGTTTGATCTGTTTTCGCCACTTTGGAGCCTGGACCTTTACTTGATAATCAAGACAATCACCAAACATATTAGGTTGGTCCGAAAGTTCTGTCCCACCATTTTCAAAAAATCGTAACTTCTTTCTAACGCAATGTTTTTGCAAGAGTAAAACCATATTAGAAAGAGCAATTCAGCTCTGAATGTAGAGATAAAATTGAGGAAAGGAATTCATTTCAATTTCGGAATTTTTAAGCAAGCCCATTGAAAAATCCAAAACAGTGCCGTAAAATCCAAAACAGCCACTATCCTAGACTATTTCACCTCCTCTTTCTGGCTGAGCAAAGCTCGCGTTGATCGAGCTGTTCTTCGGAAAGTTATGATTTTTTGAAAAAAATGTCAAAGAATCAATTTCCTTAAAAAACTGTGGCATTTTTTCTTGGAAATCATAACTTTTCAAAAGAGCTCAATTGGCGCAAATTTTGCTCACCTGGAAAGAGGGTAAGAAAAAACCTAGGATAGTGGCTATTTTGGATTTTATGGCACACTTTTGGATTCTTTAACGGGCTTGCTTAAAAATTCCAATTGTAATGAATTCCTTTCCCCAATTTTATCTCTGCATTCAGAACTTAATGAATAGCGTCCAACTCAGTTTCAAAAAGTACATGAATTGCTCTTTCTAATATGGTTTTACTCTTGCAAAAACATTGCGTTAGAAAGAAGTTACGATTTTTTGAAAATGGTGGGACAGAACTTTCGGACCAACCTAATATATTAGAAAACAAAATTCATATACTAGACACCTACAGAAGGAACCTTTTGATATGAAAGAAACTATTCTAAACTGTTAGCGTGGCGTCAGCCATGTGAAAATATTTGGGATAACCTTTGAATTTGAGGCTTTCAAATCTTCACCGTTAAGAGGGCCTGAGCAATTTGAAGTTTTGCTGCACATGTGACTGTTTGCATAGTAAAATCATGCGACGGAACAACATTTGCAATAAACAACTACAGAATTTAATTTACAAAAGTCACAAAACCATTTACCTTTTTGAATTCACATCTGTCATAAGCGGTTTCTTACCAGATTGCTTTCGACGCGGTTATTCAAACTCCCGTGCAATTTTGCCTAAACAAAGGAGAGAGGAGAAAAAATCACGAGACTGACATGTTGGCCAGATTCACCCACGAAAATAAGCAAATGAATAGGTTTGCAATTACTCGACTGTATGAGGGCTGAGTGTGGGATTCTTGGGGCAAAGCCTACTCTTTTGACTCTTTTTTTTGAACTGTAGCATTATCGATATACAGTCTTCATATATGTACGTTCGCCTACTTCTGCAATCTAACTACTATTTCCGTAATTTTTCAGTTAATTCTGACTTCATTTTTTACATTTCTTTGCTGACTCTTATTGGAATCTTCAATAAATAAATATTCAATAAACGTTAGTGAAGCCCACACGAAGTGTAGATTGGTGTGAGATTCCTTCTCTCCAACTTACAATTTCAGAACTATGGTTCAGGCGTTGAATTTTCCCAAAAAATGTTTTGGTATTTGTCTAAAGTTATCACTTGTTTAACTCAACCTTTTTCTGGGAAACAGACGAGATTATTTAGAGAATTGCTAAAAATTAAATTACGTTTTCTTGGGTTTTTACTTCAGCATTCGTGCTTTAAGCTCATTTTTAGACGTATTTACCTTACTACTATCTAGTATTGTTTTAGAAAGAAAGAAAATTTCGCTCATTCGAATATTTTCAATATTGATTTTTCTCTGGGATTAGAGCATTTGCAAAGCCGCAATCTCAAGGTTGAAATTGCAAACTTTTGTTATAAAAAATATATTGGTGAGAGAACTTAGGGCAGCTAGGGACGAGATTTGCCATTTTTCTTTCCACTTTTTTCTGGACTATGAAAAAAAATGTGGCAAGTAAATAGAGGAAGGCATTCATCTGCTACAATATCAAGTAAGATTTTTAGGTTTATGCGACAAAGATGAAATTTTTGGCATCATAGATTGTTCGTGGCTTTGAATCTGCGTTAACCACTATTCAAACTGTTTGGAGGTTATCTTGTAGAGCTTGCTCCTCTCTATGGTATGGTACGTACCCCTCATATCCTCCACTTCATATTCGGAATCAGCGACATGAGAAGGCCGCGGAACGATTAAAACATGGAAGTCGTGAATCTGGGTGGACCTTACCTTTAAGTGAGCATGTTGACGAATATAATAAATTTCGCAAAGATGTCCATTACTTTTATCGATTTTATCGATTTACAAACTTTGAATCACGGAGCTAAGAGGTGTCACAGGGGGTGGGGGGAAGGATGGTAAATGAGCATGCTGATTTCTGAGCCGGTAATTCGCGAAGAAAATATGTTTGTCGGGCAAGTATATCCATTTATCAAAGAGTTTTGTTTTAGGTTCCTAAGAAAACCGGAAATTATTAGTTAAGGGTTTATTCTACATTTTCACTTCTGACTTGCAGACAATGCAAGATTTCTTACCATTGTGTAGGTTATGACCTTAAAAAATCGGTGTTGAATAATGAGCAAATAACCGTCAAAACACAACCAGACACCTAGCAACAACCGTTCATGCTTTTAGTCTCCAAGACTACATTGCTTCTGAGCTAGCAACAATTTCAGGACCGTTTCAGAAGTGGCTTTGCATCGCTAGCGATCGGCTGTTCAGATGATGAAGTTTGCGATCGTCGTTCTGCTTGTCTGGCAGGTACACAGGCTTATTCTATCATAATTATAAGTGTTTCAAAGAGTTAATTCAGATGGAGAGGGCTTCATCATGCATCTTTCAACGAGAAGACGTAACCCACGGTATCTATATTCGGTCCGACGAATTTAAAACCGAAGCGCAATGTTTTGCTAATTGCCTCAGTGTGCCGGAGTGCACAAGTTTCTGCTACTATGAGGTAACCTATTCATTCTTCAAAAACGCCTCAACCCGTTTTCAAACAGCAGTAATTCAAAAAGAAAACTGCATGCTAGGAAACAGATGAGCACGACAGAAAATTTTCAATTAAAGTGCTAATAAAAATTCCTGCAAAGTGATGAGATGCAGAAATCTTCCTGTATATCCTGAATCTGCAATACATGGTTGGGGCAGAAGCTTCTAAAGTTTTGTCATCTACTTTTGTTGGTGCGAATATAAAGCAGCAAGCGTCTTTTACAGTATGAACGGATCTGCTTTCTCTATGCTGAAGGCGAGGATGAACAGAACGATAACAATCCTCTTTCCCAATGCTACACTCTCCACCGCGATCTGACGAAGCCGCCGCAGTACTCAAGAATTCTGAAATTCAGCTGGACAGACGACTTAGAATGGGTTCCTGCTTAATGCTCTATCAGAATATATTAGGTTGTCCCGAAAGTTCGTTCGCACCATTTTCAAAAAATCATAACTTCTTTGCATCATAATGATTTTGCGCAATTAAAAATTTATCAGAAAGCGTAAAGCATGTAGTTTCCAATAGTTCCCTGATGTCTTTCCAGCATGTTCAGATTGCAGAGATAAAAATGAAAGAACGAGAACATCCGAAATTCGGAATTTTTGAGCAAAAATTTTAAAAATTTAGAAACTGCGCGATAAAATCCAGAAAAGCCATTATCCTAATTTTTCTTATATTTGATTACTAATGAGTTAAGTTTGTACTGATCGAGCTCCTGTTTCAAAAGTTATGATTTTTTTTAAAAAAATGCCGAAAAATCACTTTCCTAAGAATTCCTAGGAAATTGATTTTTCGGTATTTTTTTTTCAAAAAATCATAACTTGACGAAAGAAGAGCTGGATCAGCACAAACTTAACTCATTTAGTAATCAAATATAAGAAAAATTAGGATAATGGCTTTTCTGGATTTTATCGCGCAGTTTCTAGATTTTTAGAATTTTTGCTCAAAAATTCCGAATTTCGGATGTTCTCGTTCTTTCATTTTTATCTCTGCAATCTGAACATGCTGGAAAGACATCAGGGAACTATTGGAAACTACATGCTTTACGCTTTCTGATAAATTTTTAATTGCGCAAAATCATTATGATGCAAAGAAGTTATGATTTTTTGAAAATGGTGCGAACGAACTTTCGGGACAACCTAATACAATTTGCTGCTTGTGAGCTTTA